ACCGACCGACCCCCCGACCCCCCCCCCCCCCTGCTTTTGTGTTTTCGGCTAATCAAGCGATGTGAATTTTCTTTGCTCCCTCGATTTTTTCTTCCTGCCCTACAGACAGGGGAGAGGGTGCCAACCACGCGGTATTGGACGTTGCCGACCTCGTCGAGACTGTCCTTCAACCACACCTCATCGGCGGGGACTCGTCGCCGGCAGAGATCCGAGCGGCCCTGGATCGCTACGAGACCGCCGTGGTGCGCAGGGCGCGCCCCGCCGTCCTTGCCTCAAGACGTGCCTGTTTGGACGCCCACGAATGGGACCGCATCACGGACCAGAGCCCTCTGCTGAGCCGACGCAGTCCCCAGATTGAGTTTGACGAGGCCGACCTTTTGTGATGTTTTGGTTTGTGTGCTATTATCGGGGGTTCCTCGGGGGTTGTACACGGTTGAAAATATTACAGGTATACTGCGAGCTCGTAAAGGGTTCCTGCCAGAAACACTGCCAGCGTGTTTCAAGATGGGTTTATTTACAATTATACACAACTATAATCTGGGTTTTCGTGACTATCTATGTACGCTATAACACCTACCTGAAGAGATATTGTCCGGCTCGCTTTTCGTTTTGTGGCCAGAGTTGGCCTTGGGTATCGCACAATCGTAATCGGCTAAAACATACGAAATAAACTATGTAGGTAGTCGGGGCATCCCAAAAGCAAATACCCGCCCGCCGAAACATCAAGCGCAAAGCAGCCGTTTTTTTTTGTTTTTTTTACCGCGCACGGCCGGGGGTGTTGTACCCGTCCTGGTCCTTGTCGACGCGCACGCTGTACGTGACTGACTTCATGATGCCGCTGTTGCCGCGCTCGTGACCTTGGGACTGCGTGTTGAGGTCGTCGCTGTGCGCTGCCGCCGCCGAGGAGCCCTTGAGGATCTCCTCCTCACTCCTGTTCTGGAGTGTGGTGGGCGGGGGGCTCGACGCCGCCGACGAGATCCCATCCCTGTTGCCTTGGCCCTTCTTGTTGTCGCTGCTGCTGGTATTGTCGACCACCGTGTCGAGCATGTACGACTCGTCCGTCTTGTAGAAGGGCTTGCTGCCTCCACCGCCACCGCCGCCGCCGAAGCTGTTGAGCTTCTGGCTGCCGCCTCGGTTGCGTCCGCTGCGCCCGCTGCCGCTCGGGCCGGCCGAGCCCTGTTGGTAGCGGGAGCGGTACTCTTTGGCCCGGCGCAGGAACACGGGCGCGAGGAATGGGAGGGACGAGACGATGTTCTGCATGCCAAAAGGCGTGTTAGTATGGAGATGGCGCATGCGCATGCACATGCTAGGCTATAAAATAAAATAAAAAATAAAAAAAAGGAAAGGTAGAAACGTACGCCAACATTAAACTCAATAACGCCCCAAAGCACTAGCATGGTGGAGTTGCCATCGCCAAACTGGATCCTGTCGATCTGCAGGTAGCGCAGGACCGAGCAGATGGTGGTAAAGATACCCAGAACGAAGATGACGACAAGACCAATCTTCTTGGAGAGGTTGACGTTGAGCTTGATGAGCACAGGCAGCGGGATGATGGTGACGGCAATGTCGGACACAATGGTGACGATGGCGTATCCGGTGAAGCTGGGCCCCGGCGGCAGACACGTGCCCGGCGTCAGCGGCTCCCACGACTTGTAGACCGGGTTGCAAGCCAGCACGAGAGACAGCGAACAGCCGAGGTGGCCGAGCACGACGGCCACGATGGTGATCCAGACGGCGGCGCGGTATCCCCGGTGCGAGGTGCCCTGGAACAGGCGAAGGTAGCTGATGAGCAGGGCGACCTTGAAGAAGCTGATGCCCATCTGGTAGATGGGCCTTCCCCCAAAGTTCCAGCGCGTATAAGGGATCAGGTTGGGCTTGGGCCGCAGCGCTATGGGCAGGCCGAGGCCGTACTTCGTCTGGACAATGCAGATGATGGAGTAGAGCAGGGCGAAGAACATGGACAGGGTCGCCATGTGATCGTCGGCGCGGAGGCCATGGTTGGTGCGCCGGATGTGGAGGCGCGCGCACACGACACTGATGGAGACGACCGACATCAAGATGCAGATGGCGATGATGAGCTTGTAGTCGGAGATGGCCTCGACCTCGGGGGTTGCGTTGTCCACCCAGCCCATCTTGGCGGTTGCTTAGTTCGCTGCTGCCGGTCTTGTCGCTTTCGTCTTGGGGCCGTCTTGGGGACCGTCTTAGGGCTTGGGGGATGGGACCCGTTCCGGTGTTTATCAGTTCTCGTCGTGAGATGAGATCTCCGAGTCTAGTGTTCCAGGGGTCGCTAGCCTGGGGGCCCTTCGGGATGATATGTACCACGCGGGTAATACCGCGGTTCCGGGCACCAGAAGGGAGGGGCGGGTGTCTGACAGCGAGATGGAGGAAAGATCTACAACATTGCTGGCAAGTCTGGGCAACTAGCGCGGCAGACGAATCTGGGTGCCGGGGCTAAGGCTTAAGGCTATATAAGAAGCTGGCTGGCAAGAGATCAGCGTCGCCCCTTTGCTGGACTTGGTGCATCTGAGAAGGTCTCGCGGGAGGCATCTTTGGACGCCAATCCTTGCTCCTCCACGCCCCCTCTCTCCGGGCGCCGCATCCCATGTACAGGGTAGAAGGGGCGTGTGAAACCCGAGGAAATTTACGCCGTTGTGAAGCCGACGAGGAGGAGGCGGGAGGCAAAAACGATGCTCGGTTCCAAAGTTTACATCTCGTTGCACCAGACTTGGGTCCAATGCAGGTCCCCAGCCGTCGTGGCGCGCAGCAGGAAGTGAATGGGGTGACTATGGACCATTGACAAAGCTGGCAGGGCTAATTTTCTCAGACGGGGCCTTCAAACTTGGTTCCGGTCAGGGGAGCAAGAGGGAGAGGGGGGGCGGGATCGAGGTGACTGGGGGTGGCTGCAGCGCACCCTCTTGCTCCGGAGATGAGGCTGCGCTTTCCGGGTGATATGAAGAGGGCACATATCGCAGACGCCAGCCACTCAGGGTGGTAGGCATGGATTGAACTTCCATCCCAAGACGTGCGACGGCTTGGTCCAAGGGTCAAGGACAAGGGCACCTGCGCCCTGGACCAGGGACTACCTAGCGATCGCTCCCTTGAACGGTTCGTAAGGTTATTGGCCGCCGACAGCTGACAGCAACGTCGGGCGTCTCTGGGAGACCACTGGGACCAAGGAGCAGGCTGAGAGCTTGTGCCGCATACCGACACCGAGCCAACCATCCCACTACCGGGAGAATGGGACATGCCGATCAGAAAACAAGCTACAAGCTGCTGTGGCCTGTGCCTGCCCGAGGTCTTAGGGCAGTCAGTGCCCAAGCAGACGACGTCGCATGCCCTCAGTCCATCTGTTCATCGCCCAAGGCGACCCCCCCACGCTTCAGCCGGGGAGTGATAGTGGAGGACGCCTGGCCGAGCGCTTGCCCTATCGGTGCCATAGCTGGCCTATTTTAGGCTATGCATGGATCTTATGAGGAGATACTGCAAGGGAACGCAAGGGAAAAGCAACGAGACCGGCGCAGAAAGGAAGTGATACGCCGGAAAAGTTGCTTCTGCACCTCGATTTCACCGAGACCGACATCAGCAATCGTGGGCTAACTAGCTGGGCACTAGTCTGGCCTATGGCTTGGCTGCCGTCGATAGTATCGTCGATCTCGCCCCTTTTCAACGGTGCTTTGTGACGTCTTTGACGGTGGCCCGAGGGACAAGCTGGGATAGCAAGACGCGAGGGCGTCACTGGCGTCTCACGGGGCACCACAGACGATAGACAGGCGACGAAGGGATGGAAAAGACAGGGGAAGGGTAAAAAGGGCCTCATCTACGGGAGACTCCGTAGTTGGGGCTGGCCGTCCACTCAGAAAGTGCGCTAGAAAGGGTCTCAAAAGACGGTGCACACCCTCCCAAGCCTTCCCGTCCTACGATTGCCTGTCCGGTGGGGCTCATCGACATGAATGGGCGGGCCAGGGACAAGGGGTCTCGCTCAAATCAAAAAGGTCTGCGGCTCTCCATCCGTACTCCCGCCGTCTGGACGCCACTCCAATTGCCGGTCCAGGAAGGCGCCCGGCCAATGGATGGCCAATGCCCAGGAAATGCCAGGACCCCAAGCTGAGATGGCACGGACAAATGCAGTGCTTTGATCTTGGCCGCTCAACTGAAAGAGGATGGAGAAAAAGAAAGCGCGGGTATCAGGGCGAGACATGAAAAAAAGAAACGACATACAAAAAAGACGGAAACGGAACCGCAACACCAGCCCGGGGGGTTTGGTGGCTAGGTAAACATCACACGTTGCAGTCGCGTACAGGTCCCAGGGATCACAAACCTTGGTTGCATTCATTGTGCAGTGGAGGTTCGCCGCTGCAAATTCAGAGTTTTTTTTTCTTGTGCTCCCCGCTGCATTCATTCGTGGGCTGCTGGTCCGTTGGCGTCCAAAAAGTTTATGGCACCATCACCGCATCATTCCCCACCTCCCCACCCCACCCCGAGCAGGCCCTCCTCTCGTTTTTCCCGTGCAGCCACAACAAATCCCTTCATGGGTCGGCTTCCAGACCGAGGTGGGCACTTGGTGGGCACACGGAAAGGACTGAGCTCTGCCGCCCGTCGCTTAGGGGGCCCGCAGTATCGCGGCCAGTTTTTCCAGGGTGCTGAATGCCAAGCCTACAAGGAAAAAAGCTCTTGGCCCAAGGGCCCCATGCTTGAGCCACATCGACGTCCCCTTGCTCTACGGTTTAAACTCCCCGCTCATCGATGGGAAACCACCCTGGCCAGGTCTGGCTTGGTGGCTGTCGATCACTTGCTGGAGACCTATCCCGGGCGAGCTCTAGCAGAGCCCAAGGCAGGCCATCCTCCGTGCCAGGCTTGTCTTACACCTGCCTGTATCTCCATGTTGGGGTTGGACCAAGGGAGGAGTCTGGATACGCCATCCCCCTTGCCTCTGTTATTTCGTTCTCCTTCTTCCAGACATACCCATCCCCTTGGCACCCAGCCAGTAATTGGCATCCACCCAATATTCCCCCTGGATTCCCTTCGGCCACGCAGAAGTTGCAGAGCATTGCCCCTTTTTAACCAGAGTGGCCTTCCTGCCTCGTGGCTTTTCTGTTAGTCTCCTCTCATTCCCAAGCTGTCGGACCGCCTACTCCTGGTCATTCCAGAAGCATCGCGTGGCCTTCCTAGAATAACCCGCCCGGTCATCTTGCCGATCAACATCCGACCGATGGTTGCTTTCTGAATTTTTACTTTCGCTTCCACTCAACCCTTATCCGAGATACCCCCTTGGCTCCTCTTGTTGATCTTTTTCGGGTTTTGGCGCCGTCGTTCACACCCCTCCTCCTCCCTTGCCTTGTACACACAATAGGGCAATAAGGACAGGTGAAGGGGAACATGTCTTCCAACGGGGACAAGGAGCCCAAGGAGCAGGTGCTCGACGCGAGCCAGTCTCCCGTCGACGGCAAGCCCTCCGGCCAAGGAGCCGCCGCCTCCGAGGTCGATGGGGCGTGGAAGTACCTCGATGCCCACCGCGGTGCCGACTCCCATGAGGGAGTCGACCTGGCGGCTCTCCGCCGCCGCATCGACTGGCGCATCGTGCCCCTGATGTTCTGCTGTTACACCATGCAGTTCCTCGACAAGGTCATCCTCAATGTAAGTCATCACAGTGCGGGAGGGAGGCCAGCACCAACGACCTGTCACACACAAACACCATTGGCTGGTTCTAACACCGGGGTTTTGTCTCACTTCAGTACGCCGCCGTCATGGGTATCCAAAAAGACCTCAAACTTGTTGGCAACGACTTTTCCAACATTGCAACCTTCCTCTTCGTTGGCCTGCTGTGTTTCGAGATCCCCAACAGTGAGTAGCACAACCTTTTCTTTTTCTGTTTGCCTCATGTCTGCTCCTACTCCTGTCCCTGAAACACTCGGGGCAACCGGCCCGTCTTCTAATCATTTGGTATCTCGTACTTCGTCACACAACAGTCTACTTCCTGCAGTTTTTCCCCGCTGCCAAATGGCTTGGTGCCAACGTCATCTTCTGGGGCACCGCCACCGCCTGCGGTGCCGCTGCCTTCAACTACCAGACCCTGCTGGTGTCGCGCATCTTCCTGGGCATGTTTGAGGCCACCATCGCGCCCTCGCTCATGCTCATCAGCAGCCAGTGGTACACCAAGTCCGAGCAGGCCCCCCGCTTCTCCTTCTGGTACTCGGGCCTGGGCCTGGGCCAGATCGTCGGCGGCGCCGTCTCCTACGGCTTCCAGCACGTCGACCCCAACGGCCCCACGCTGACGGGCTGGCGCGCCATGTTTGTGGCCCTGGGCTGCATCACCGTCGCCATCGGCCTCTTCACCTTCTTCTTCCTCCCCGACACCCCCATGCAGGCCACCTGGCTCTCCGACGGCGAGAAGGTCGCGCTCCTCAAGCACGTCAGCGTGAACCAGACCGGCATCCAGAGCCGCCAGTTCCGCCCCAGGGAGATCCTCGAGGCCCTCATGGACCCGCAGCTGTACCTCATGCTGCTGTCGGTTATTCTGGTATGTTTTCATCATCTTACTCGAGCCATCAAGTAACAGCACACTAACGACCCATTTCAGCTCTCCGTTTCGAGCGGTGTTATCACCACCTACTCGGCCACGCTCATCCGCAACCTTGGTTATGATCCCAAGACGGCTGCTCTGATGAACATGCCCTCGGGTGTTGTCAGCATCTTCTTCACGCTTCTGGTCGGATATGGTATTCGCCACCAGTCGCACCGTTGGGCTTGGATCATCGGCTGCATCATCCCTGCGTACGCTTTTGCCCTTCTTGTCTCTGGTATTTGGACTTGATGAAACTAACAATCCCAATCATAATCACAGGGTCACCGGTGGCGCCCTCATGTCGTTCCTGCCCACGAGCAACCGCTCGGGCATCCTGGCCGGCATCTACCTCGTCAACGCCGTGGTCGCCCCCTTGGCCATCTTCTACGCCGTAAGTCCGATTCTCTTTTGGAATGCTCTCCGATAAAGCAAAGTGGGCAAGCAGGCTAACAAGCCCCTCTCCCTCTCCAGTGGACCGCCGCCAACTTCGGCGGCGCCACAAAGCGCGCCTTCGCGGCCGCCGTCATCAGCGGCTCCTTCTCGCTCGGCAACATCATCGGTCCGCAGACGTTCCAGGCCAAGGACGCGCCGGACTACCGCCCCGCCAAGCTGGCCGTCATGGGCACGCAGGCCGGCTGCGCCCTCACCACCTTCTGCCTGTTCCTCTACTACGTCTGGCAGAACAAGAAGCGCAACAGCTCCGAGTCCGAGACCGAGGACGCCTTTATGGAGCCCGAGATCTGGGCCCGCATGACCGACAAGGAGAACAAGCGGTTCCGCTACACCTACTAAGGTGGTGTGTGTATGCTTGACAAAAGTCTTTTTTTGGGTGGCTTGAATTGTTTTCGGAGGAGAGATTGATATAGCAAATGTGGTACTTATTCGTTTAATCGCGCATGCAACTCCCGTTGTCCAGCAACAGACTGGGCAGCCTGCTTGTATATACCATTTAGTCAGGATCGGTAGAGTAGCTACGTCTTCAAAGCCAAGGGTTGCCAGGCAAAAGCCCGGCCTTCCTCTCATTTACATTGTGGAAACCTAGAACACTGTCGCCGCCGCCGAAATATCCAGGCGCTCGCAGTCTATGCCTATTGCCGCGGGTCATTGGCTGACCGGTCAACGGTTAGGCTTGCGTGGTTACACGACGTACGTCGAGTAGGTACCTAGAGGCGCCGGGAGACCCCACACCCCATACCTATACAGACTTGTCGTAGCTAGGGCATCAATCGAGTAGGGGAGTACGCCATTTCCTCTTATGGTAAAACGAGCCCCAACCATGGAGCGGGACAAGCATGCTGTACACACATCCATCGGGGGGCCGCTCCGAGAGCCTTTAACAGCCGCACAGGAGCGGGCACCTTTAATCTCTACCCACCCGGAGCTCGAGCAAAAAGAGTAACAAGAAAAAAGAAAAAAGAAAAAAATGGACTTTTAAGATATGCATCTCCACCGTTGTTTACCAATGAGTCCAGCCATTGTCCCTAGCAATAAGCCACTCGCTTGCGCCATCATGCTCATAGGGAACCCTCTCACGCATCCCAGCGGACATGTGGTGCATTTCCGTCGACGTTCCGGCAAACCCAGCCTGCCTAGGCCGGGCTGGGGTCGGTTTTTCGAAACCGGGGCTAAGTCTCGAGATTGCTTCGACAACGACCGCCGTCTCGGGAAGCACGTCGGGTTCGTGCCCTCCGCCGTCGGGGCACTTGTTGTAGCGCTCGTAGTCTTCCCGGGACAGCGGCTCGAACTCGAGGCGCGTTATGGTTTCGTTATCGCCACCGCGCCAATCGTCGGCATCGCAGATGTATATAACGGCGTGGTATTCAAAACGTTCCATATCATGCCGCGCGTACGAGGGTACCAGACCGGGGATCCTGGCCGTTTCGGCGGTGGATTTGGCGGCGGCGCTGCTTTCGGCGGCCTCGGCCTGGGTGGTGTAGCTGCCACGGGCGTCGCGCTCGGTGCGGTAGTGGCGCATACAGTCGTCCCAGGTGCCGTTGGGGAGGAAGTACATGTCGAGGCGGAACTAATCGGACTCGGACGAGTCTCTAATGATTGTGTCGCACAGCAGCCTCGCGGAGTCCATCGAGTCGGGCGCGTTGGGGCGAACGGCGGGGTGGGTAAGGTAAATGCTGAAGCTGTAAAGGTAGGGCAGCGGGCAGCTTGCAAGGCCGCTCCACGTGGTGAGCGCGGGGTTGCCGGCGTGGTCCTGGAATGGAATCACATGGGTTTTGGCGAGGTGAGGGCGTTTTTGGCCAATTTGGCTAAATCCAGAGGCCATTGTTAAAAGGGACGTGAGAGCAGCGCAAATATGCGAATGGGTGTTGTGAGGTTTGGTATCGACCAACGGGCAAACAGTCGGCCCCAAGAGTGCTGCTGTTGCTGTTGGGTCGATTGGGCCCTACACCCTAACTAGGTATGGGCGGATGTGCCAGGTCTTTCCAACAGCTTGCCCAACAGATGTGACAGAGCAAGCAACATCTTTCTGTCTCGTTGTGCCCTGGTCAACAGCCGCGATTTTCGCCGGCGTGCTGCTCAGAGGCCGCAATATCGGACACAGTCCCACAGAGTGACCGAATCAAGGGGAAAAGCTCTGCTTCGAGTGCTGGGGAAGCAAGGGGCTGCCGAAGAGGGCTGACGTAGCGGTGCCCAGCACTCCGTTTTGTAGCTACGAAATATCACTCAGCATTGGTTTCCCTTATGCTTGTGTCTATTTCGCCACAAGATTGCCATCACGGATACACTACGGAACAGGTTCGTATTTCCCTTGTCCTATTAAGCAGAACATGGCAAAATATCCTACCATCACAGCAAGACCATCGGCTCAAACTTGCGTGTACCCTCGTCAACCTCTTTAACAGCTTCTCCTCGCATGATCCCTTGGACGTAACACTCACCCACCAGCGTCATGGCTGGGACCGAGTCGCAGTCGCCTTGGGGGGTCGGCACCTCCAAGGGGCGCAAAACGTAGGCGGGTCGACCGCCGGCCAGCACGTATATGCAGTCCCCCGAAACCGCGCCGGCCGGCGCCAGGCCAAAGTACCCCCTGGCCGAGACGAAAAAGGCCCTGCCGACGGTGCGGTTCCTGATGTGCTGGTCGTACATGGTCTGGCGGTAGCTGGTGGCCTCGCCGCGCGGGTCGGGGAGGTCCCGCGCGGTCAGCATCTGCTTGAACCACCACTCGCCGTGGAAAAAGGCATCCCGCCCGCCGTCGGCCTCCTGGAAGGTCTTGTCCTCGTCGGCCTCCTGGTGGCTCTTGTCCAGGCACAGCGTCCTCCAGTACGCGTCCAGCACCGAGCCGCCGGCCGGGTAGCCCGCCAGCGGGTCCCTGTCTACCCCGGACAGCTTCCTCCAGGCGGCAAAGATCTTCTCGTCGCCCTGGTGCCACCAGATGCGCGGCCTGCCGATGCGCTCGATTGTGTCCAACATCAGGCCGGACACGGCCAGGGCGCGGGGGACCGGGGCGCCCTTCGGGATCATGTCGACCTGGGCGAGGTGTTTGCCGCAAGCTGCCCAGCTTTGCCGGATGGGGTGCACATAGTCCCACACGACCAGCAGGTTCTGGACCTGGAGGTACTTGCGACTCCAGTCGGGGACCCAGGTCGGAACAGAGACCTGGCTTGGCACTCGTTCATCCGCGGGAGGGAAGTGGCGCTCGTCGTCGTCGTTATTGTGCTCTGTCTCCGGGAACGCGTGAGACAATACGTCAAGCATGCCCGAAAGCCGTATCGACTCCCTGGCCGCCGTGATGTAGGTGTCCTCGATGCTGAGGTTGTAGTCGACCCAGTCGGTCGAGACGCCGGCGCAGAGGCCCAGGACGCCATACACTTTGTCCCGCGGATCAGTCGCGTCCCTCCCCCTAGACCTGGACGCGACCGTGGGTAGGTCCAGCGCGGCCGAGCGCCGCGGGTCTCCCATCTGCCGCTGCATCTCGACAACGGCGCCCAGCTTCTCAAAATGCAGGCTCATGTGCCCGTGGATCTCCTCGTTCGAGCTCCTGCCGGCCGGGCCGTCCTCCACCGCCGCGGCCGCCGGGTAGCAGCAGCCGTCGGCGTGGTGCCGGTTGCACCGCTCGCGCAGCCGGCGCATCAGGTCCCCCTCGATCTCGAGGCCGTCCTGGACGAAGACGACGCGGCGCGCCACCACGGCCTCCTGTAGCGTCCAGATGCGCAGCCACCACTTGTGCACGAGCAGCAGGAACAGCGCGCCCATGGTGTGCCCGTGCACGCGCGGGTCGCTCCAGTGCACATCGTCGGCCTCCCCCGTGAAGAGCTCGACGGCCTCGCGGACCTCGGGCCCGCGGCGGCCCGAGCCGAGCCAGACGACGACGCGTGACGCCTGGGCGTAGATGTCCCGCATCACGCGCACCTGGCTGCTCCGCTCGTTCTTGTTGCTCTGGTCGATGCACAGCGCATCGACCCAGAGCGTCCGGGGCTCCGTTGTCTGATGTCGGAGCGTGGTGAGGGCGCCGCGGAGGTTGGGTGTGACAGTCCATTTCCCTGTGCCGCGAATGCAGATTTCTGTGGGTTCGCTGTCGGGATTCTCGCTGGGATCTCCCCAGACATAGGACAGCGCCTCATATACCGGGTTCTCCTCAAGTGAGCTGATATAAATCTCAACCTCTAGGCTATCGTCTGGGCCCGCAGGATAGAGCCGAAGAAGCCGGATTTGACGGGCAGTTTCGTCCAGTGGTGAGTACATGGTGATGGTGGTAGAGCGGTTCCTGAACAAGACTGGGGAAGAGGCGGGTTGCGCGAAAGAAAGTCGCCAATTTCTTTTTGTAGGTTCTTGTTGGTCCGCAAGGCTATCGAGACAACGACGCTTGTAAATCCTCAAGCCTTGATCTACGATTAGGCAGCAGTAATGCGACGACCGCGGTAAGAGATTGCCAATCAAATTCCCTGATATGGATTTCATAAGATGGCTAGACGCAAGTTGCTTGCTTTCAGCCGCTGCGGAGATGAAGGGCAGGCTGTGCTTTCAACCCATCTCTGAATCCTTCCAGAGTTCAAATACTTGACATTGAATATTCGCACCAAGGGCGCGCCACCCCCATGCATCGCAATGTCGTCTCTCCATGTAGCAGTCTACCACGGGAGTCTGGAGCTCACAAAGGCCCTTCTCGAGGAACTCAAGGCGGAAGACCACGACCTGCTATCGAAATGCATCAATTTGAGGCTGCCAACTTATGGCTCTCCGCTCTTTACGGCCTGTGTCGAGGGACACACCGAGCTCATTGATCTCCTGGTCGGTTACGGTGCCGACCTCAAGCAGCCGCCGGGCCCGACATCGACAAGAACCATACTCAGGCAGGCCATCGGCATCGGAAATCCGGCAGTTATCGCCAGCCTGGTTAGAAACGGCGTAGACGTAAACGCCCTCGACGATAGCGGCGGCACCCCGCTGAACTGGGCCCTAGGCCAGGAAAACGTCGCCGCGGCGCTGCAGCTCCTGTCCCTGGGTGCCGACCCGAACAAGCCCGGCGACCGAGGGGTCACACCACTCATGACCGCCGCGGTGGGCAGCCGCCCGTCCGCGCTCGTCGCGCCGCTGGTCGAGGCCGGCGCTGACCCGGAGCAGCGCATGGATTCGGGCGACACGGCGCTGACGGCCGCCATCATCGAGGGCGAGGACGGCGGCGCCGAGGCCGTGCGGGAGCTGCTCCGCGCCGGCGCCGCCGTCGACGCCCCCGGCAGAAACGGCGGGCTGCCGCTCGGCTGGGCGCTGGCGCGCGGCCTCGAGGACGTCGCGCGCGCGCTGCTGGACGCCGGCGCCACCATTTCGGGCGACCGGGACACGATCCTGCACGCCCTGGTCGAGAACGGGACCCCGCCGGCGATGCTCCGGCTGGCTGTCCGGCTGCTCGAGGAGAGGTCGCCCGGGGGCGCCGTGTCGTCGCGCAACGCGAGAGCCGAGACCCCGCTGCACCTGGCGGCGCAGGCGGGCGACCGCGCAGCCGCGCTGGTGCTGCTGGACGCCGGGGCAGAGGTGAATGCCGAGACGGGGGGCGGGTTGACGCCGTTGTGTGCGGCTAGGGCGGGCGGCCATGACGAAGTTGCCGACCTGCTGATCGAACGAGGTGCGGATGCCGAGTATGCCAAGAGGCTGCGGGCCTTGGAGATTGAGGGGGTAAAATATCAAATCATCGTGGAGGAGGATTGTACGGAAGAGGAGTGGGAGAAGATCAAAGCGGCAGCTAGAGAACAATTCCTGAAAAAGTTAGGAGAAGGGGACCAGGCTTCGCTGGCTGGGTCAGGAACCTCAAAGACATGTTTTTAGATTCCTCTAAAATCAGACACATTTTCTCTGTATGAAAAAAGGGCTTGGAGGGTCCTGAACTTCGGCTTTGTTTGGTTAAAGCGGCTTGTCATAGTACATGACATATTTGTATTGAGATGCGCGTATGCATATTTTCATGCTTCCCTCTCGGCTTGTCTTCTCTAAGTATGCACTGTGATGAATCTTAAAGCAAAGAAGAAAGATATATACAGTGAATCAAATCATGCCCAGACGCATATAAGAGCAGGAGCAAGCTACATCCAAGCCTCCAGGAAACGACCAACTCCAAAACGTCAACAGCCCATCTCGCTTGGTTGGGCTGCTTGGGTTCCTAGGGCGGGGCAAACCCTATTTGGGCATCTCCGCCCCGCCATGCAAATACGAGTGTTTTCCTTTCCTTCCCTACCTTTTGATAGCTTTTTCCTTCTCTAGATCACGGGTATTCCAATCATTGCCTCTCTGCCGCCCTCTGTATCGTGACACTTTGCAGATGCCAGTCCACAGTTATCAGCCAAGGAAAGGAAACTACTAGATGCTGGCTTTTCGATATACTAAAAGCAGTTGAGCTCATGCCGCTGGTTCGGTCTGCATACCCTAACCCTGCCAGCCACACCACCTCGCTCGAATGTGTGCGGTTTGGCTTAACCGATCGCGATGACCGACCATGGCCCGCAAATGGCTGCCTAAAATGCTGGCAGGCCGCCATGAAGATGGGGAAATTGCGCCCATCAATGAACAAATCCGACAAACTCCAAGCTGGGCCAAAAGCCTCAAGCTGTCGTAATCTTGATCAGCAATGCAATCGGTGCGTCGATGTCGGCTGCCTGCTAGTTTCGCGTTTTGGCGGCTTATGCTAAGAGTTATCGCGCCCAAGGCCACTTGCAGGATTCCCGCGCTAGCGGAGGGCAATCGGAGCCGCTTCCGGCCCGCATCAGCCGAGGTCAAGAAGTGTCACCAACGACACAGCCCCGACCGTTGGCGTCGCTACCCCTGTCGACGCCATCAGACCTGCTGCTATTCGTCGCAATCACCGCCTTCATTATCTCCTTCTGCTGCGCCACCATCGCCTATGGCCTCGGAGCTGGCCGCTCCCCAGGCCGAATTGAGCGAGCGTGATGGCCCCCGTTACGAGTACGCCCCCTTCAGCGACGGCTGTTCCATCCGCATCCTCACCCTGGAGCCGGGCGTGGGCGGCGAGCCGCTGACCGGCAGCCTCGAGTTCGAGAGCCTGGACGCCCGGCCGGAATTCGAGGCCATCTCGTACGTCTGGGGCTCCGGCACGCGCAGCGCCCAGATGCGGTGCGACGGGCGGCCGCTGCCCATGACGAGCAGCATCCGCGACGCCCTGCGGCGCATGCGGCATCCCGACAGGCCGCGGAGGCTCTGGGCCGACCAGGTCTGCATCAACCAGGACGACGTGGCGGAGCGCAGCCAGCAGGTCAACCTGATGAACCGCATCTTCAAGGGCGCTCGCCACGTGCTCGTCTGGCTGGGGCCCGACCGCGACGGCTTCGCGCGCGCGGCCGTGGAGACGGTCCATCGCCTTCACGGCGTCTTCACCGACGAGGAGAAGCACGGTGCCTTTCAGCAGGCGCACTCGGAGGGCCTCGAGCAGCAGGACGGGCACGCGTGGGTGCCGCTCTCGAAGCTGACCAAGCTGCCTTGGTTTGGCCGCATATGGATAGTACAGGAGATAGGTTGGTTCTCTCGCTTCTGATATATGCGATCATGCAGTTTGTACGACATGGACATGCTGATAAGCCGAATAGGCACTGCCACCCCGGCCACACTGCATTGGGGGGACGAAGAGCTGGATTGGGAGGTGCTTTCGAGCGTTGCTGACGTCCTCAACCTAAAGTTTCACTATCTGAGGTCACGCTTCCGTGTCCTAACACCTAGCATTCGTTACTTGTATCGCCGTTTCACCCGGCGCATCGATGACGAGGGCATGAGTTTGGGCGACTGCCCGGTTACTGACAACCGTGCGAACTTCATCTACCAGCTCCAACGCGCCCGCCATCTGCAGGCTGGGGACCCGCGCGACCACGTATACGCCTTCTTGGGGCATTTTAGCAAATGTGCTGGGAGCCCAGCGCTCGTTGAAATCAAGGCCGACTACAGCCGCCCGGTTAAGGATGTTTTTTACGACCTAGCCATCCGGGAGCTCGAGGGCACAGACTCGCTGCTGCTACTGTCGACATGCTACGAAGTACCGGCCCTGTCGCTGCGGATACAGGAAAAGGATCTAGGCCTGCCCTCATGGGTGCCTGACTGGCGCCGCCCGGCGCGGCATATGCTCCGCCCTACCATCAAGTGGGCGGCCGGGGACTCTCTGCCGCGGCTCCGCATCGACGCCCCCCGGGGCCGGCTGCACATCCGCGGGCTCCGGGTTGACACCCTGGATTGCGTCTCGTGGATCTTTTACGGGGGCGCCTTTGGGATATGGCACGGCCCCTCGGCGCGGCTGCCGCTCGAGGCCCTCTGGCGCGACATGTGCGGCCACGGAGACGCGCGATTCGGCCTGGAGCGTCGGTGCAGCGCCACCAACGGAGACGCGGCCTTCCTGGCGCTCACCCAGACGCTCAGCAACAGCAGCGCCGGCTTTGTGGTCCCGGCAAACCAATGCCTGGCAGACGGCGCCGCGTACCTCGTCCGTGCCCTGGGCTCGCGGGCGGCCAAGGTTGTGACACCCGAACTACAACAGATTGCCGCCGGAGGCGATGCGTTTCGGTGGTGCCACAAGGCTACGCTAGCGACGCGGAACCGTCGCTTTGCTATTACTGCCTCCAAGGGTAGCTATGTTATCGGGCCAGGCGAGATGCTGCCGGGCGATGTGGTGGTGGCACTGTACGGTGGAACGACACCATTCATCCTCCGGCGGGTTGGGGGCGAGACAGAGATTGGGGAAGAGAAAGAGGAGGACGCTACCTGGAAGCTGATTGGTGAATGCTATGTCTACGGTGTCGTGGATGGAGAGGCATTGGCGAGAGAAGGGGCGCAGGACGAGGAGTTTGTAATTGTATGATATGAATGTAACGAGATCCATGAGACTTACCCGACTTTGATATATCAAGAGCATGTAAAAGGGCCTACAAGACTCCGCGGAGACTGATGTAGGGCAGACACAAAGGGAAAAGGTTGGTCATCTTGTCTTAGGATGTCGGCTTCTCCCGGTCTCACTCTAACTGGTAGCCGGAAGGAACAACCGATGTAGCATCATGCTGGCGAGCTTGCTAGGAATGAGTCACCGGCGATCAGCTCTGCGATGAGTTTGCCTAAAGGAGGTTGTAATGATGTCAAATAAATACATGCAAATGCTGGGTATGGCTGGGCAACCAAGGCGAAGGGCGACAACAATTCAGGGGCTCGGGCGTGAGAGATCGGAGACCGAGAGCTGAGCAAAGCACTGTGTGGCGTGATATGTGGCGTCGGTGGCTTAGGTGGCGCTCCACCCTCACCAGGATCGGATTTCCGATAGTGCCGAGTCGGGCCAAAGACGCGAGCTTGCTGACAAAAATGGATCGAGCTGTGTCTGAAGAAGGGCGTCTAGAAAGCAGGGCCAGCGATACTGCTCCCGCAGGCCAAAACATCTCCGAAGAGAAAACAGCACGTGGCCGACGGTTGTATATATCCGGCTCGTAATTGCGAGCTTGTGTGGCGAAGCGCTCGCCAAATCCGCCGTCTCTTGTTCACCATCTGTCTTGGTGAGAATCCACCCAACCACGATTGATCGCGGGCGCCTGCAACCTCAGGCACTGAATCCCCGACTCGTCTCGAATCTCCGAGCCTTTGCGCCGAGCAGCTGCTCGTGTACCGACACGTTTCGGCGCAGCGCTTGTCGGCCCGCGTGTCAGGCACGTGAGGGCCATTGCCGCCGCCCCAGGTATCTGGCCCACGAAGGCCCGGGAAGGCCATGCCGGACCAGGCAGGGACCCGCGGCGGGGCTGGGGAGCTGCCGCCGGCTTCTCCAAGGGCCGCCCGGGACCTCGACGAGGCCGACGACCACGGTCGAGACCACAGCCACGACCGTACCGGCGCCTCGTCGCCCAACACGCGCGAGTGCGACGACAGTGACGACGACGACCAGCCCGGGAAACCGCCGAGAAAGCGGCAGCGTGTCAGGCTGTCGTGTCTCGAGTGCCGACGGAGAGTGAGTGCATGATGCCGTCTTCATAGATATATAGATACCTATATATGTGCCTATGTATATGTACGACCTCGCTGACCAAACAGAAACTGAGCTGCGACCGCAATTTCCCCTGCGAGCGCTGCATCAAGTCCGGCACTGCCGACCGCTGCACTTACGAGACTAGGCCGGGGCTTGCCCCTCCGGCTAAAAACGGCCTCTCGCAGGGTGCGCTAGCCACCATTGAGTCGCGGCTCTCGTACACGCCAGGGCCCGCAGACTTCCGTCGGGACAGCCCGCGCGACAACGATCGGATCCGCCGCCTGGAATCCGAGGTCGCCCAGCTCAAGAACCTGCTCACCAAGGGCGGCTCTCTCGACGGCAGCAGCACCACCCTGGCCGACGGCTCCCCGGCCTACGTCAAGACGGACCATCCCGACATCGTGCCCGGCACGCCCCCGCGGCAGTCTCCTCGGCCCTTTAACCCAGAGCAGGATAATGCCGCCGAGGAGGACGAGCTGCGCTTCTTCCGGGGCAAGGAATTCAAGACCCGCTACTACGGCCCCCACAATGCGTGCATGGCCTTCAGCGAGCTTACTGGGCTCTGCCCCTTCATGAAGGAGACGGCCGAGGAGTGGCTCAGTCCCCTGCGCGTGGACAAGAATAAGGACCGGAACCAGCGCAAGCTAGACCGCGAGCGCAGGGCCCTGGAGCCCGACCGGGAACTCGAGGAGATGCTGCCCACCCAGCCCGAGACCGACATTCTCGTCGAAGTTTATCTCGACCAGTTTGAGCAAGTCCATCGCATCGTGCACATCCCAACATTCCGGAGGCAGTACTCCAGGTTCTGGGACCACACACAGCCCAGAACAGCCGCAACTACCGCCTTGGTCCTGGCCATGATTGCCGTCTCGTGCTGTCTGCACGGCAACACGTCGGGCATGCTGGTCGGCTCCGTCTCCCACGCCCACCGCACGGCTGAGAAGTGGACCAACGCTGTCGAGGAGTGGCACCGACGCCAGAGCGAGAAGCACCGGAAGCTCATCCACCTGCAGATCTTGTGCATGCTGTACCTGTCCAAGAGAGTCAACATCCTCAAGAAGAAGCGCTTCTGGAAATCCGCCGGTGCCCTGGTTCAGGACGGCATCTCGGTCGGGCTCCACCGCGATCCGAGCCACATCAGCGAGAAGATCTCAGTGTACAACCAAGAAATGCGGCGTCGTCTGTGGTCGACAATACAGGAGTTCGACCTACAGGCTTCGTTTGATCATGGCTTACCGTCGTTACTGAGCACACTGCACTTTGATGCCACGCCGCCTCGAAACATCAACGACGCCGAATTCGCCGAGGACAGCACTTCACTACCGTCATCCAAGCCGACATCCATCCACACCTTCTGCTCCTTCCAGAATCTCAGCCGGCAGAGCCTGCCCCTGCGTCTCGAGCTGAGCCGGGTGCTCACAGGAGCCCCAGAAGAACTTGACTACGAGCGCGTGATTCGGTACACCAACGACATCACCCAAGAGATCGACGCCCTGCCCTCCTGGGACCTCTCCCTGGGCAAGGGGGACTCGGCGGCCAATCGCAAGCCGCTGCTCGCGTACACGCTCCTGCACATCCAGCTGCGGCAGTACATCATCCCGCTGCACCAGCCATACCTGCGTCTGCGCAAGACCAACTCCAAGTACCAGTACTCGGAGATTGTCTACTACAACGCGGCGCGCGACATGGTGCTCCTGCACGACAAGCTGACGGAGCAGGGCGTGCGGACGCTGAGCTTCCTGCGCGAGGACGCTTTGACGCTGTCCATCAACCTCTGCAGCGTCACCATGCTGCAGCCGCGGGGGTCGACCAACATGGTCATGGTCAACTCGGAGCACACCCTCCGGCTGCTCGAGAAGTGCCTGGCCATGAAGGAGGACCGGATCCTGAGGTGCGGCAACCACGAGCCCTGGGCCTACAGCATCATGTGTGCCGCCTACGGCCTCCTCGAGGCCCACCTCGGCATCAAGACCTCCGAGGTCGCAAAGGCCGGCGCCGCCGAGCGCTTCGTCAACATGCACTACCGGCTCGTCAAGGGGGAGAACCCGCCGGCGTCGTCGATGCAGTCCATTTATTCCGCTAGGGGCCTGGCGCCGTTTGAGGTGGCGCCCGAGAGGCAAAAGGTATGTCCTCATGCTAGCTTGTATTCTCGCATGATTTCTTTTATGGACTTCTTTTCGCTGACGCACCCTCCTTCCCTCAATAGTCCATGACCCCTTTCGCCATCCCGAGCTCGCAGGGCTCTGCCATGCACGGGATGCCTGGGGACGCGCCGCCGACACCATGGTGGCTGAATCCGGTGGACCCGAGCGTGAGTGTGAGATTTCCCGTCTGCCCTGGTGGAAGACGGCCAAGTACTGACATGAAAACATCACGACAGTTGGCCACCCTCCAACAGCCATTCAACCCGGCAGATTTCAACCTGGACACCCTGGGTCTCGATTTGGGCGGCCTCTGGAGCGACGCGACATTGGGATTCCAGTAGTAAATGTCTCTTGAAGCGTGAAAACCACGCAGCTCATTCGGATCCCATGTATTGTGTGACGATAAAAATGAATGACGAAAGTTTGGAGCTTCCGTATGGTATCGGCGTCATTGTGAATTTGAGTATCTGTACGAAAAGCAGTTGACACCCACCCAGCTTGTAAGTATCATATGCCTAGAATGTGCGATTAATCGACGTTTATTGGACCTAGCAGGCAGTGCTTTGACCTGCCAGCCATCCCTTCCCTCAAGGTCTCGATTGGATGCATCACTGTCCGCCGGCCAAGATCGAGCCCGACGGCACGCGAGCTCGAGCTGTTGCCGCCCAAGGAAGAGGCAACTGCAAATGGGAAGATGCCATGCGACCATGCGTAAAGTGCCCAAGAACGAACTTCGGGGCGCATGCAGTCGCGATTCATTCAGAACGCTCAACATTCCTAAAGGGAAGGAGCAAAGGCGCGACGAGCGACAGAAGCAACCATGAAGGTCAAGCGAGGGAAATAGCATTGGATAAAACCAGTACCTGCTCTGCCCGGACACGAGAAGGCAACTGCGACCTCACTGAAGGCCCTGATTTGCTTTGGGCCGCTCGCCTGGGATTCATGGCTGGCCCCAGCCTCCTGTCCATCACACAAACTCTCTCCTGATGATCCCAGCCGTTGTTTGTCTACGGTGGGCAAACAGCTGTCTATCTCGCTCTACTACTAGATTTCCGCCTCCGAGGGCGAAGTGGTGTTTTCAATACCGTGCTCGCTCTTGAGGTAATCCTTAGGCCCGGGTATCACGATTACGCTTACTGCTTGACCAGGGCTCACATCGCCTCCGTGGCCGCTCTCCCCAAGACGACACATGATGGACGTCTTCTGCTGCTGCTTCCGCCGCCAACCCAAGGAAACCACAGAAATCACAGAACCCACAGAACCCACGCCATGCAAGCCTAATGCTAATACTTCGGGCGATCTGCCCTCCACGGCGCCACCGGCAACACAACTCTCTCCCGCTCCCCGGCCCGAGTCCCCAAGGGCTGACGCCGAACCAAACACGGCCAGCCAGTCAAGATCGTCCTTGCGCCCCGCCCCGATCCCTGGGGCTCCCACCGAGCCTGTGGATATCAGCCAGCTGGTGATCGATGACTCTGACGGCGGTGGCGAGTCCCCTCCCCCCAAGAAGAGCAAAAAGAATAGGGCGTCCAGCACGCTGGACTTCGTCCGCACTCGTTTCCGAAATCAGGGCTCCCAGGACGACTCGCTCCGCCGGCAGTCCGCAGCGACTGTCGGCAGCAGCACCGAGGAGCTTGCCAGGCGCGCCGAGCTCAAGCGCCTGATGCGCAAGAGGATTCAGGAGGAGCTCGAGACGGATGATGGCGAGAACGCACCCCAAGCCGCAGCAGCCAGCGATGGCCCCTCAGCATGTGCCAAGCGTCCCGCCACCCCGTCACCCGCCGACCGGCTCCCGGGCGGGGGGCCTCGAGATAGAATCGAGTTCAGCGTCGCCCAGGCCGTCGGGGACACCACCCCGTCGGGCGGATCGCCCAACCGCCAAGAAAATGTGGCCCCTGTCACTCCCGGTGGCAGCCGCACAGATTCTCGGAGAGCCAGTTGCCCAGACCACCTGAGTCCCGGCAGCGAAGCCAAGGCTGCTCGAATTGCATCTCAGGCTCTCGTGCGTGATAAACGAAACTCGATGCCCCAGCTGTCCTCCATCTCGACGACGACGCCTCTTAGTCTCCCAAGTATGACGGGCTCGTCTCTTGGCTCTCTTCTGGCGCTAGCAACAAGCTCGAGCGGCTCCGAGAAGCAGGATACGGCGGCCGCAGGTCGAGAAAGGCAGGCTGTCGCCGCCGTGGTCGTTAGTGGGGGGTTTTCACCCAGAGATATCAGCAGGAAAAGCTGTGACGATAGCAAGAGTAGGCAGGTCGAACCAGGCCCCGTCAATTTCCTGGGCCCCCGTCCGCACACGGTGCAGGGTCTATATACGTCTCGCTCCGGATCACCCGCATCAAGCGATGGCTCTTCAGACCACGAGGACAGCGATCGATCCCCAATGAGGACTTGGCTGCGCAGCCAGAATCATTACTCGGCTCTGGAGGCAGGCTCCGGTTGTGGCTCTAGCACAGGGGCAGATGTCGCTGGACCCACTACTGCTCACGTACCCAAGCCGCGATGGTCTTGCCCCAGCCTCAACCTGCAAGCACCAAGAGCACCCGTCTTCCAGACCACAAATCTACCACACTCGGCTGGTGCGGTCCAGAAAGGAGCCGAGTTCACACCGCGGAGTCCGCAGCAGCATCAAGAGAGTCTTGGCACGCCAGGCCGCCCAGGGAGTTCGGTTGGATATGTCACCCACTTGCGAGGCGGCATTCTCGAAGATGCCGACACCGCAACCTCGATTGGAGAAACTACGGGATCTCTGGGACGGCAGCTTTCAGAACAAAGCACCAGCCATGATGTTGAATCGCCTTGCTTAAACAGACAGCACAAGCGAGATTCGTTGTCCAGTCTACCGTCATCGGGGAAGCATCTGCCCCCAGCGTCCGCTACCAAGTCGGATGCCGCTACGGCCTCACCAAGCCCAAGGATCAAAGCTCACACGATTCAATCCGGGACTGAGAGTAAGTGCAGGAGATCTGTTGGTTTTTCTTCGCTCACATTCCAACTGACACACAGCTACTGGCGCCATAGCGACAGGTAGCCACTCCCCGTCCACGGAGGAGACCAGCGGCACCCGCGAATGTCAGCCAAGCAGCTCGCCAGCCTCGAGACTACTCCTGCCTGGCCCGCCTTGGACTCCCACCGACTCGCCTTCTGCTGTTGCCTCGGACTCGGAGGCTTCCAGCTTTCACCGTCGGGAGGAGGAGCTTCTCACGATCCCGATGCGGTTTGCAGAGTCCAAGTCGTGGCGCAAGCCAAACCTGCACTCTGTAAGCCGCTTCAGAGAGGACTTTAGAGATGAGCATCAGCACCCGCAACAGACAGGAGATGTGCTGCAATCGCCGTCTGAGAAGCCGTCTCTGTTTGCACGTCTCCATCTCACGGTCCCCCGCAAGGCAAGGCTCGACTCCAAGGTGGCCTGCACGGACGGTGAGACGGCGGACCCGAGCGCGGGCAGCAAATACCCGAGCATGAGGAGCTACCACAGCTCAGCGGCGAGTCGGAGCTCCCTGTCTGTTCGCCATGACAGGTCAGACGTTTCGCCGGCGAAATATCAGAGAGAGAGCGCCGAGGCCGTCTGGCGCCGCGCAATTCGGGCAGAGGCCGACGAGCGCCTCTCCTTGGCACGCGTTAGCGGCGGTCACCGCAGCACCACAAACAGCAATTCGGGCACGAGATGTCACCAGGATGCCCACACTCCAGACGAAAACAGACTGAGCGCCCGCTATGCCGCACTCGGTCGGTCGCACGCCTGCAGCCATGTGAGCCATAGGAGCCATGGGCGAGCCTCACCAGCACGCAGCGTGGTCTCTGAGAAGAGACATAAGGGTAGAGTCCCAACAGACCTTGGCCGTTCGAGCATCGTCCCGGGTGGCAGCCCTGGCCAGCACTCTAGAGAGGCATATGGTTCCAGCCACGTAAAAATGCTGTCAACGGCAGAGGCTTCCGAGATCCCCAGGTCCTGGGCGAGGTTTCCATCCCACACAAGGGAAGAGAGGAACGGCCCTGCCGGCCCCGAATGCGATGTCGTCTTTCGGGATTTTGCAGCGAAACCCCCTGGCGACGGCGACGAGGATGCCGGATGGGTGACGGACAGAGACAGCCCGTCATCATCCAGGAGGACATCCTTCGGCGTGCGGATCGTCTCGGGCAGACTTGGGAGGTTTTTCAAGACAAACGTCGGCAAAATCCTCCCCAGCAGGTCTTCGTTTTGGACCAACGGAAAGAGGGCCAGCGCGGACCCCTATCCCAGCCGCGATCACAGCCCCGACGATGCCAATCTCGAATACCCGGAGCTGCAGATGCAGCCGAACGAAGGCGCCTTCAGGGAGATGAAAGCTCTCGAGCTGGACATCGTATCACTCAGGAGCAGTGCGCGCCGCAGTCCTCGGCCGGTATCGGAGGGCCGAAGCGACGAATGCGTCAAGGCCCCAGCCGCTGTCCAGACCACATCCATTCCAGACGGGGCCGGGAGAGTGACAAATGTCACCGGCAGCGGAGAGGAATGCTCGACGGCAGCAGAGACCAAGCCACCCCCTACGCCGCCCGCCGGCCACCTGCCACCGAATCCAGACGTCAGCACGATGACGGCAGGATCGAGCACGGCGAACAGCGACCACTTCTTGACGCCTGTCAGCCGCATGTCACGCCGCGACGAGAGCGCCCGCTCGGCTTGCTGGCACGGATCGCCGGGCATGCTGTCTCTCGACGCTTTCCGCAACGACGATGCGGCCTCCCATATCAGCTCCGGAACCGTTGTCAAGAAGACGCAGCTCGGTGCCGAGTCCGATACACCCCAGCGCCAGCAGCGTATTCTCAAGGACCGGTCGAGCACACAGCTGGACCCCTGCTTCGCATAAGCGAGCAAGAAATGGAGATCACGAAAGACTGCGCATTCACAACAATCACAATGAAGGTTTTAGTTGCGGTTCGTTATTGTTTGACCTAATTTTTGTAATACTGCTTGGGATGCCGGTAATTTTGGAAGGCGGATATGCGGCATGCCCAAGAATAGATGATAGCCCGCCTCCCTGCTGTGTTGAGCAAAGGTTTTTGGGGTCTGTGCTCGGCAGTTGATGAGGGCAACGACACAGCTACAAACCAGGATGGAGGAGATGCGGAGCAGACTTTGCGAGACTTTTGACATATTCTAGCGTATGGATATATCATTTCTTGTTCTCCTTGTAATAGCTGCGAATATTTGCTGGCTTTCTGGTAGATTTAAGGGGGTTGGGGGAAAAAGGCAGCCGGCGGATGCGCACTCATGTCTGCCCAAGTCCTTGGAGCACCTGTAACTTATTGCTGGCAGAGAATAGGTGCTTCGCTACCTCCCTAACAGCTTGCTCTCAATTAATCACACACATTACAAGCCCGACAGCTTTGGAAGCCGCCCTCCCTTATCGTCCTAGGTCTCCAGCTGAATGCTTTTGCCGAAGCGGGCGTATAGCTCGACCTTGAGCTGCGTCATCTCCTCCTTGATGGTGCCGAGCGAGTCCTCGAGCTCCTCGATGGCGCCCTCGAGCCTGGAGCCCGACATCCCCAGCATCTCCTGGGCCTGGGGCAGGGACACGTGGAAGAAGGCGTCCCCGACCTTGTATCTGTTTTGTTTTTGTGTGTGTTGTGTCAATGAGGAGGATGGAGGTGAGTGGTGGCCGCGTGATAGGAGGGCTTACGGCACGGTCTCGTCTTCGTCGGCCAGCTCCAGCTCGGTGCTGACATCGTCGAGCTCCTCCTTTTCTTTCTGCACGAGGGGGGTCAGTCTGTGAATACCCATGTACAAACATATCAGGGCCACCCACGTTCTTGGCCTTGAGCTCCTCCTCGATGGTGAGCTCGCGCTGGTGCAGGCGGCTGAACCTGTTGATCTTGTCCTGGTCCTCGCGTCGGACCTCGACCTCGTCCCCGGCCGCCTCTTCCTCCTCCTTGCTTAACTATAGGGGGGTTGGTGGGGGGTTTTTGTCAGTTGATCATTTTTTTTTTTCGAGTTGGTTTTCTTGATGTCTGTTTCCTTACCATGCGCCTCTGCATCTTGGTCCGGTCTCAAGCACGCGTTGTATGAGCGAAGTTATTCCTATCTGGGCAGTTGGTGAGGCGCCTTTCAATTGCACGTGCCAGCCCACGCCGCCCACCAAATGAAGCGCAGGAAGGCGGCGGGGAGCTTTGAGATGGACCCCCCAGCGGTGCATACCGTCCGCAGACTGTGTATGCGCACTGTATGGCGGGGTCGAGCGGCATCTGCCGGATCCTCCCCTGCATCATCAATGGATTGACATCAATCCAAAGCACGCGACAAGGCGACGCTCCGAATCCGGAGCACCAGCAACCGAACCAGCCAGCCCGCCTACGACCCCACGACAAAGATGGCCCCGGGACAGAAGCTCTACCCCAGGGCGACGGTCAAGCGCATCATCAAGGCAGAGTCCGACTGCAATGTCAGCAAGGACGCCGACGTCACGGTCCGTTTGCGACGCGTCCCGTTTTTTTTTTTTTTTCATTCGCTTGTCGCATAGCTGACGGTCATATCCAACCCTACAGGTTTTCGTCGACTACATCCGCTTTCTGCAAACGTACGCGTTTTTTCCCGCCGCATAGATCCATGCATTTTTCTCGGCCGAAATACTAAACCCCAGGTTCCAGGGTCGTGAACGAGGCCGTCATCGAGTCCAAGAGGGCGGGCGAGAAGGGGATCACGCCGCGGAGCGTCAAGAAGGTCACTGCGGTATGTTTGCGTGCCCGGACAAGGGGGTCGATTTTAATGGCAGCTTCCTTTTGCTAACATGTCGCCGGTTTGTATTATAGGACTCCCTTGCCAAATTCAAGCTGTAAACCCCTTTTCTGAAAACAGCGTCGTCCACGAAACGAACCGACAACCACCCATGACACATCACACATGAGCCACCGACCGTCTGTGCTGCTCCCCGTCGCAGCACCGAGGCAGAAATATGCCAAAGCTGGAAAGGCTGGCAGGACCGTGTCACGGAGGTGTCAAATAGGGCTTGCGGGAACTGGATATCGGGTACCAAATGGTAATGGCGGCGCCTGGCGTGTGAATCTCCACGCGTTTATGTGACGTCGTAAGGTCTCGTCTACGCGGTACCTGCGGCGCATAGCAGGCTGGATAGCTCGCATTTGCAGGGGCTTCGGTACCTCGGCGGGTCCAATGCCTTGACCCTGGGCGATGCATTCGGCAGCTGTAACAAGGCATGGATCCTGCTCGTTGGGTCGATAAATGCCAACATAATCAACAGCCTGGAATGTTGGGCTATAGTGCTTTACATACAGTAGGACCGCATATTTAAAAGAAATAAGAAACAAATCGACTACCAGTAAAGATGCGCCGAAATAGTAGGGCTGCGACAGCCTCGCACGCAACCGAACGTTTGGGGTCCAAGGTGCATTCCATGTCGTTACCTGCAGGTTTCTTCAAGCTTCTCCACGATTCCTTCTTGCATGGGTGCTGTGGGGTTGGGCCGCAAACAGCCCGGTCAGAGGCGAAACAGGGTAGGCAACATGCCCTGAGAACCTGAGAACAGCACCCAACCTGCAAATATTGCTGGTAAACAATGCATTTGTAGTTGGATGGGTGCCCGCAGCAGCACCTGCTTGCATATAAACACAAGGAATACAAAAATACATTACTCCCTCGAAAGACCAAGAATGAAACCTGACAAAATATTGGAGCCAGAACTCTGGTGGGTGTTCCATTCGCGGCTGAAATGTGGGTCTTGGGCCGGCCAGGGGGGGCACGGGTAGAGCCCGATGGGGCAGGGACGAAGGAGGGAGGGAGGGCAGCTCGAGCTCCAAGGTGTGTTGATGGCAAGCAGCCAAAAAATTTGACAGCAAGTCGCACCTCGAGTCTTCAACATCCGACCGGAAGAAAAAATCTCGTGAAAGCAAAAACCTACCTTCTTCCACCTATCCATCCTTCCTTTCCAACTAAATCCTCCGATTAGCACATTTCAGCTGAATTCCTCGCCCCATCTCGACTGTACTCTGCGGGACAACCAGTTTCCCCAACCTTCAGCACCAGCAGCCACCTTCGCCCGCGTGCCTTGCGACGCCAGGAAAACAGCCACGAATCTTGTTGCCTGCGCATCTGAGCAGCTCGCGCCCCTCCTCGCCATCTCCTGCCCTCTCCTGCCCTCTCCTGCCCTCTCCTGCCCTCTCCTGTCACATCCCCATCACCTTTCACATCCCCCCGCCTTCACCATGTCCGCGCCCGCAGTCCAGAACCCTCCTGCCCCCGCCGAGTCCAAGTCGGCCAAGAAGAAGAAGGCTAAGGTCGCCTCGCGCGCCGAGTCCCCCGCGCCCACCTCCACCCCGGCCGAGAAGCCCAGCTCGGTTGTCGGTGATGCCGCCCAGGACGACGGCGAGAGTCCCTACGTTAGGGAGCTCCAGAAGTGAGTTGGCCGTTAGCCCTGGCCCGCACCTGCCGCAGCCGCAGCTGACCGCGAAAATAGGAACATCCGCAATGTCAACAAGAAGATTGTAAGCGACCCCTCTCTTTCCATTGCCCACAACTCCCCGGCCCCCGGTGGCTAATGTTTTCTTTCCTTCTTAGCAAAACATCTCCAAGACGGACACCGTGGTGGCCGAGAACAAGGACAAGTCCCTGGATGAGCTTGTCCAGCTCAAAATCATCAACATGGATCAGCGAGCCTCCATCCTCAACAAGCCGCGCCTTCTGACCCAGCTGGCCCAGTATGAGGAGCAGCTGGCTCAGTACAAGAAGATCGACCTGGAGTACCGCACGCGCGCCGCTGAGGTCAAGGCTGAGGTGGAGAAGGCCCTAACGCAGCAGCACGAGAAGGACAAGAGCGCGGCCGTGGCTGAGATTAAGAGCACGGCGGAGGCTGAGTCCAACAAGCTGCTGCACGACAGCCTGTTGGTCCTCTCTCAGTTCCTGCGCCTCGCGGCCGCACGGCGCGGCGATGACCACAACAGCGAGCTTGACGAGAATCTTGCTCTGGAGGGTGTCCTTCTGCAGGTCTACTCGGGTGACGAGGAGGGCGTTGCGACCATGCTTAAGCTGGTCCATGGCTCTGACGAGCGGACCAAGAGCGTGACGGCAGATGAGCTCCAGACAACATGTAGGTCACGCCTTTACGACCACCAGAAAATACCCCCTGCCGAATTTGAGCTAACATGCGTACCTTTATGAAGTTGCCCAAGTCAAGGAGGCAGCCATTACCTATGTAGTCCCGCTTATCCCTTCTGCAGAGGAGCCCGCAGTTGACAGCAAGGCTGAGATTGGTACCGACCCCACTGTCGCTAATGCCGGCCTGACGGAGATCGATGCTGGTACCGACGTCGCTCTCACCAACGGCAACCACACCGAGGAGGCTGCCCCCGCAGCGCCTGCGAACGCCGAGGTCGCCGACGAGGCTGCCAACGCCAGCGCTGAGGTCTCTCAGTGGGATGCCGGTAATGCCAGCATGTCCGCGTCGCAGGAGTGGGTCAAGGTACCCGAGAACCCTGTCGAGACGGAGGCGGCGCCCGACGCCACCCCTGCTGCCCCGGCCGCCCCGGCCAACACACAGGCCAACACCCAGTCGTGGGCCGATGATGCCACCGAGAACGCCGCAGATGTGAGTACTTTCTGGTCCTTGTAATCAGATCTCTGTGTGTGTAAACCGTCACTGACAGGATGTTTCTGCTCTTCTTTCCAGGCTCCTGCTGCTCCCGCCGATGCCAATGATGGCTTCCAGTCGGTACCGGGACGCAACCGTGGCCGTGGAGAGGGAGGATGGCGCGGCCGGGGTAACTACCGCGGCCGCGGAAACTTCCGTGGTGAGGGCCGCGGGCGTGGCCGTGGTGGTCGCGGACGTGGCGGCGACCGTGGCGGCGACCGTGGAGGCGATGGCTCCTTTCGCGGACAGCAGCGCCGGAGTGACGATGCTTAGTGAGCAACCACAAGCTCCTCACGGCGTCCGAATCGGCAGCCAACACAGAGGCATTATCGCGTAAAAACAAACGAACCTCGAGAGGACCTTGGCAGCGAGCCAAGGCCCTACGTCCTCCCCTATCTGTTCTTCCACTCTCATCATCGCATCATGCGTCGGCGTATCGGGGCACAACAGCGACATCGGAAAACCGTGGCGTCTTTTGCCACTCGGTTGGGATTTTCAGCCCTTTTGAGCCAGCAAGGTTGTGCTGGTTTTTGCTTTGTCATACTTTCCCTTGTCCTCTATCTCCCAAACCAATCCCTCCCCGTCGACCAGACTACTTCATGTGTCAGCGACGGTCCTTTCGAGGGGCGTGTGTTGTCCCATATTGTACCACTACCTTACTTCCTTCTTGTTGATTGCCGCGACGATGAGGCAGAGCTGGACGATGGGACGACCTCCGAAACGACCTTCTCTCATATTTTGATCGGACGTGTCACACGAGCCGATCATCCGTCACCCACTCTCCGCCTGCAAGGACCACACTTCTTGGTCTTGCCGCCACCTCTATTTCCAGTTTGTCGGCTTTTGTTCTCCCCTTGTCGCTGATATTCTCACTGCTCAAGATCATGTCTTGGAGCGGTGGGGTAGCGTTGGGACCATGTGTAAATAGCATCATGCATATATCGAGATCTGGAAGGAGGGCGAGATCAGGGGGGAGACTACAAACAGCTAAAGAGATAATTGCCCAAACCTGCGACTCGTTGAACATTTATATCTTGCACTTTGATGTATTTGTTGCATCAGAGGACAAGACATGGCTGCCTGTATGGAGTCTTGCCTCGCGTTCTAGGGGTCCGTCTTCCAAGGTGGCCGTCCAGGCGCTGTTCATTTTCCCCTCAACTCAAGAATGGGCGGACGGCCGTCTAAATGCTTGCTACTCCTTCCCAGTCACCTCAGCATCCCTGCGCCTCGACCCACCTCACCCGCTCCCACTGGCCTCGCGGTAAAAGGTGATGGCCCCCCTGGCGCCGGCGGCGCAGAAGCCCTCGGGGGCGCGGCCGGGTGTCTTTGGCAGCCACCTCACGGCCCAGATGGTCTGGTCGCTCTCGGAGTGGGTGGCGACGCAGGCGCCCGTCTCGACGGACCAGACGCGCACGCGGCCGTCGAAGGAGCCCGACAGCAGCCACTCGCCCGTGTGGCTCCAGTCGAGCGACATGACCCAGGCTGACGCGGGGCCGGGGGACAGGCTGGCGACGTGCTCGCCGTTGCGGGTATCGTAGATGGCGATTATGCCCGCGTCGCCCGCGGCGGCCAGGCGGGTGCCGCCGGGTGAGAAGCGGACGGCGCGGATGGGCTTGGAGAGGCCTGTTTTTTTTTTGTCGTTGATGTTGTTCGTTAGCAAGGTATAACCCCTCCTCATCTCCTTTTCGTCTACCAAGCCGTATTCTACTCACCCGTAAGCGAGTAGATTAGCCTGCCCGAGTCGTTGTTGAAGACGTAGACGGTGCCGCTCGCATGGCCGCTGGCGGCGAAGCGGCCGTCGGGGCTGAGGTCGACGCACATGCCGAAGCTCCCCTCGGCGGCGCCCGACGCGGCCGTCTCGTACAGGTGCACGGCGCGGCCCGCCACCACGTCCCACACGGCCACCTTGCCGGCCTCGGACGAGCAGGCCAGGAACTGCTCGTCGGCGCTCAGCGCCACGGCCCACACGCGCGCCGCCCCCGCCCCCGCCCCCGCCGACTTGGCCGAGCCCCCCCACGGCCGGACCACGGCGTGCTCCTTCCAGCCGCCGTCACCGTCGGGCGACTGGATCCAGATCTTGGCGTCCTGCCCGAACCCGGCCGACGCGAGCACCTTGCCCGGCCCGCCGCGGCCCGCGGCCAGGTGGTGGCACCCGTGGCTGTGGGCCTTGGTGATCTCGACTGCGGCGGTGTCGGCGGATGCGGCTGCGGCTGGCGGCGGCGCGCCGTCTACCGGCACCGCCGACGAGGGCGGGCGGTGTATTTTGATGGCCGAGCCGCCCGACGCGGAGAAGACGCCGTCGGCCGTGGCGGCGAGGGCGAAGATCTCGGATGGGTGGGCTGCCCTGGGGGGTGAGGTTTTGTATTTTTCCATTTTTAGTTTGCAGCTAGCTCAGTGCATACTACAGGAAGTTTCACTGACCATCGTCAATGGTGTGGAACGTGAGGTATTGCTTGGACTATGTAGTTGCGACAAGACAACATGTCAGCCCGGCTGGGCACTCGATGCCCGCTCGCTTCTCCTAGTCCTGCGTACCATGCTGGGCAATCCTTTTGCGCGCGTGCGCGCTATCCCAGTAGCCTCGGTGTTTTGCGGTTGCTTGTCTTGGCCAGCTCCTCCATGTGGTTCCGTCGCGGCGCGGCAGTTGGCAAAGGAGGAAAAAAAAGAGAGAGAAGGATCTAATGACGTCTGTCGGCTTCTTGGCCAGGCTCTGAATGCGGCTGCCAGGAAGAGTGGGCTGCTACCCCACGAGCTTGCGGGAACCCCTCCAAAGAGCGTCAACGCGTCGCGTAAGCAGCCAAGTCAATCTTGACAAGCACAACCTTTGCGGTTTGGTAACATAGTTGTCTTTGCACAAACTCTTCGGTTTCCATGAGGCGCCTTCGCGTGCAAGTGATGGCTGCTCACTTTATGCACATTCCGATTGCGCCGGCCGAAAGCGAGCTGCAGCAAGACCAAAACTGCAAATATTATGCAGCTGGCCTGCACGATAATCAAGAGTGCACCTCTTATGTGTCCGCCCCCCTCCCTATGTGAATCGTCAGCACCGTCGCGCAGGTGGCTTGGGACTCGATGCTGATGGCCATGGCAGCGTTTCCCTTTGTGCTCTTCTGCCTGCTGTTGCCTCTGCCGCTGATCCTCATATCCGTCCCTGTCGCGGCCACCATTGCCCCTGTCCTTGTTTGCCTCTCTTTAGTGTAAAATCTCTGCTCGCAGCACTAATGCACGGCCCTCTCCCCTAACAAGGCGAAGCGAGGCTTCTTATTTCTGGCGGCCTTTAGTGCGTTTATGGGGGCGGTAGGGCCTCCAGAGTGACTGGTGACAGCTGCTGGATCAAGGGCATAAAGGGACAATGGGCTGCATGGACTGGCGTGTCGTGCAGCCAGGGAATTTAACAGAACCAGACGGCATCCCGTATATTCCAGTGGGTATAGCCGTATGTGCTGATTACTATAGCCATGGAACGCTATATCCTACCGTTATGCGTGTATTACCCCCATGAAAGGCGACCCCTCTTGTGAACCGGTCTCATTTGCTTGTTATGGTGGCAAAGCGAGAAATCGGTCCATCGGCCTTGTTGGATCTGGGTGCAGGCATGTCTAGATCCCGTTCATCACACTTGCCGTGTTGGTTTGCTGCGCCATCTCGCCATGTTGGTTCCTCCGCCTCGGGTAGTAGAGGTAGGCCGTTCGAGGTAGTTCGTTGCCATACTCTTCTGCTACACCCAGCAATATCCCTTTTGAAATACATTATCATACAGGCATGACCGGGCATTGTGCCGACTCCATGTCCAAGGCGGCCATCTGGGGCTCGGATAGACATCTATGGCCTTGAGAATTGTAAACCAAAGCTAGCTGCCCGTAGAGGCGAGCTCGCCGTCTTCCGCATGCTTATCCTTGAGCGCCTTCTGGACCTCTGCAGGAGTGGCTGTCAGTAGACCGGACGTTGGGTTGGAATTCAGCAGTATCCATGGGTAACCCTACTCTTAAGGCAGTGCGGGCACAGGTAGTGCATCCTCTTCAGGTTGCCACATGCCGGGCACTTGCAGAGCGCCGTGACGTCCTTCAGCGCCTTGCCTGCCATCTGTCGGTGGCGCTTCTTCATGTGCGACACCTTCTTTTTTGGCACCGCCCTCAGGATCCCTTCCCATATCTCCCCTAGGAGCTCGGGTACTGAGGGTAGGCCCAGACTTATGGCGGGGATGGCGAATCTGAGTGACGGGAAGAGCGGTATGGATATCCGGCGGAGCTGTAACCTCGACGAGCGGGCAGGCGAGAAGAGCGACAGCCTGGGGAGGAGTGAGCCGTACGACAGCCTGAGCTGCTGGGATGCCATGGTCGCGGCCATGACGCCAACGGTGTGCGCCAATGGCTATCGTCCCGGGGGATGTCGGCTGTCGCGGGGTAGGACCAGCCTCGCTCTGGAACGAGACGGGCTGACTTGGCCCGGTCAATGGGGCCGCGGGGGTCGGGCTTCAAGTATATCAGGGTACTTGCAAGATATTGGGTCGTGTCGGGCGTATTCGCCTTGGCCAATTGGGCGCTTCCAGGGTGAGGCGAGATGCGCCGTGTTCCGCGACTGTCACGGAGCCGGCGTCGGTCGCCAAGGGAAGTTTCCGGTAGAAAATTATTCGGCGCGTGCGCCATCTGCCGGCCAGCCACGCTGGGTGGGTACAAAGCAGGGTGGCGGGCGGTGGTATTGGCTGATCTGGCAGCCGGCAATTAGAAGGTGAGGTCCCAGTGGCAGCTGTCGCCCCACCTGCCAGCACCCGGCCAATGCCTGCAGATGCAGGAGCACTATGGACACTACAACGGGAAGAGCGCTCGTGCACGGGCTCTGGACAGCCAACCAGGCGAGGCGACCCCTTTCCCCTTTCTGCGGGACCTGGCCGACCCTTGCTGTGCCCCCTTGCACGGAAATTATTGTTTGGCAGCAAAGGCTGTTCAGGAGCCCGTCCCCCAATTCCCACCGCCGCTTTCCACGGCTTGCAATCCTGCTCGCCATCATACTTCTTGAGATACCCATTCTTGCTGCTTTCACCTCTCGTTGCCCGCCGTCCAGCACAATTGGAACTCTCTCACACCACTCCCGCCCTCGCGGTTCTATAATACGCACGCAGCCCAATCGACCGCCTCGACCACAAACACGCAGCGGCAGCACGAGACGACTTTCAGAGTCGCCCATCCTCCAGCAACCATGGCGTCCATGCCCGCAGCCACCATCTACCCACAAAGTCATGTCGGTTTCGACAGCATCACGTCCCAGATCGAGCGCAAGCTGCTGAAGCGCGGCTTCCAGTTCAACATTATCTGCGTCGGTGAGTTTGCCCGTGAAAGCCACGTTGGCCGTATCGTGCACCTGGCGTGATTTAGGCGGACCATATCCACCTACCAACGCGACTAGGTGACTTTGCCACTGCGCGGCGGAGCCCGAGAACATATAATCGCGTCCAACAATGACCGCGTTGCTGATGGTTGCGTGCTTCCGCCAAACAGGTCAAACCGGTCTGGGCAAGTCGACTCTGATCAACACCATCTTCGCCTCGCACCTGATCGAGAGCAAGGGCAGGCACCACCCGGAGGAGGTGATCCGGTCGACGACTGAGATCCACCCCGTGTCGCACATCATCGAGGAGAACGGTGTCCGCCTGCGCCTCAACATTGTCGATACTCCTGGATACGGCGACCTGATTAACAATGACCGCTGCTGGGACCCCATCGTCAAGTACATCAAGGACCAGCACTCTGCATACCTCCGCAAGGAGCTCACCGCCCAGCGCGAGCGCTACATCCAGGACACGCGCATTCACTGCTGCCTGTTCTTCATCCAGCCCTCGGGACACTCGCTGAAGCCCATCGATATTGTCGTTCTGAAGAAGCTGTCCGACGTTGTCAATGTCGTCCCCGTCATTGCCAAGGCCGACTCCCTGACCCTTGAGGAGCGCATGGCCTTCAAGGAGCGCATCAAGGAGGAGTTCTCCTTCCACAACCTGAAGATGTACCCCTACGATAATGATGACCTCGACGAGGATGAGCGTTCGGTCAACCAGCAGATAAAGGTGAGCGCTTACCCAGAGTTGCGTGGCCACCCATGGTCTCTTGGCTGCGCACAAGGCACTAGGGTTTACGAGAGTATATGATTTCCTAACACACATTCTTCCAATCTAGACTACTGTACCCTTCGCCGTCGTCGGCTCCGAGAAGTCCATCATCGTCAACGGCAAGCAGGTCCGCGGGCGCCAGAACAGGTGGGGCGTCATCAACGTCGAGGACGAGGACCACTGCGAGTTTGTGCAGCTGCGTAACTTCCTGCTGCGGACCCATCTGCAGGACCTCATCGAGACGACCTCGCAGATCCACTACGAGACCTTCCGTGCCAAGCAGCTGCTTGCTCTCAAGGACCCCAGCGCGCAGGGCCATGGAAGTAGGCCGATCTCGCCCGCCGCTGACCGCGAGATGAGCCGCGGCTCGCAAAGGATGACCATGAACGGCTACTAGGTGTCGCCAATCATATATGGTGACTATCCCGGCGCTGCCTGGCTTCATTAATACATGCCTGGTGGCTGGTCGCCCGGACGGCGGCATCCATCACCATGCGATCCACTATTCGCACGACTCCGACTCCCATAAGCTATCTCGGCAAAGCATCCGGGGGAAGGAAGCAGCCACGGGCAAGCCAGGCGATCTGTTTTGTTTCCGGGTCATCGGTGATGTGGGCATGAAGTCGGCGCAGGTCTATACCCCTTTGACCTTAAAGAACTGGACGGCTTCTTTCTTTGTTGCTCGGCGGGAACTCCCTTTCCCTTCTCCCTTCCCGCGCTGTGGCTTGGACGCTTATTCGACACCGACACGAGGCTTTTATTACGTCTGACTTCTTTTCTCGTATTACCCCCGGCCGAAAAAGCTTTCCACAGTATTTTTCCCCTTGACAGTTTTTTCTAATGATCCAGCCGCTTCCCCGTTTGGCCCTACTATAGTAGAGTGTTAGCTTTGATACCGTTGTGGAATTCCATTTGTCTCGACCACACATGCCCGCATTGATGTTTACCTTGTGTGATCCGCTGCCATGGTCAACGCTATCATTGTATGTCTGCATTGGGAACTGTTTATGTTTAACGGGAAACCCCGAAATGTCGGTTTATGCAGTAGTTTATGCTGGACTGAGCCCAAACATTGGCACGGCCATGTCGTCCCTTGGGGTTAGGGTTTTATCACCCTGCTTGACTTTCACCGCGTCATGGACATCAAAACGCGCTAAACATGGATCCGTAATAACGTGACTCTGTCTTGACCCTTCACCACACCTTTCAAAGGGTCTAATTCTTCCGACCATACAACTCAGCTCGTGGCTCATTGACGTGTTTGTCATGCGATCTCATGTCACAATCAACCAAGGCTAGGCTTGGCAGCTTCCAGAATGGCTCGGGCGCGCCCAAATATGCTCACCCCAAAAGGGAAGAGCCTCCGCAGCTGAAGCCGCTCATCGCCGAGATACTGGACTCACAAGACTGCATCTCCGGCTCCGTCTTCCTCGTCGAGAAGATCGACACAGTGACCCAGCCCATCGCTGCTCCCCGGCAGATCTTCGCCCCAAGGCCCAGTCACCACGGCGCGACCCGGAAGCGCCGGCGCCGGCGCAGCCGGCACCTCCGCGCCGTCCGGCTCCTCCTCGCCGACGGCGGGGGCGTGTGCATACAGGGCCTGCTCCGGCCGGCGGCGCACGACCTCGTCTACAAGGGTTCGGTCTACGAAGGCTGCTTCGTGCGGCTGGACGACTTTTGGCTGCGCGTCGTGCAGCCTGACGCCTCGTCGCCCGAAACGCGGCCGACGGTGTTCCTTGTGCTTGAGGTCGTCACGCCACTGTCAAAGCCCAGACCCCGGCCTGCAGTCAAACAGTCTACGGCGGCTGATGATGAGCTGACCACTCCTCAGCGCCGCGCTTCCGTCGCCACTCTAAAGCCTCCCGCCGCCACGGCCGGCCAGAAGCAGGGGCTGAAGCAGCCGTTTCCGGTGGCCGGGTTTTTGTCCGCGGCTACCATACGAGACGCGCCGCCAGTGCTCGCAGCCGCGGAGGCTCCCGACTTTGGCGGTCCGACAGACGGCGGGCCTCGGCAACATTCCCACAACAGCACCAGTAACCAGGGCCACGAAAAACCGGCATCAGGGGCCAAGGCGCCCGGAGCCACGGTCGCGCGGCGACCCCAAGCCCCCGCGGAGCCGGACAGCAGCCGGCTCGGCACGCCGCCCGCGTGGGCCTGCCACGACCTCTCGCACCCCCTCAAGCTCACCCCGCTGCGGGCGATCCCGCTCCTGCCCTTCAAGCAGAACTGGATGGTGAACGTGCTAGCCGTGGTGGCGGAGCTGTCGGGGCCCGAGCCGTCGCTGCTGCCGCCGTCGTACGCCCAGCGCACGGCGCGGCTGGCCGACCCGTCCACCCCCAAGCACGTCCTGCTGACCGTGTTCCTGGACCCGGACGGGTTCGCGCCCTCGCCGGGCGCCGCGGTGCTGCTGCTGGGCGTCAAGAACCATAGGTTCGACGGCGGCAGCCTCAAGAAATACGCGAGCGACAGGCCAAGGGACGGTGGGCCGTGGTGGCTCGAGGCGCCCAGGCACCTGCCCTGGTGCGACGTCGCGGGGCTGGAGGCGTGGTGGGCGGCTATGGCGGAGGAGGAGAAGGAGGAGGGGCGGTCTCGCCAGGAAGATGGTTGATGTTGTCTATTTGATATTTGCTAAACCTGCCTCTTCCTTCTTCCCAACACCCCTGGGGCTTTTCCTGTGACCAATAGCAATAGCCGATAGCCGATATCATGAAGCCGCGAAGCCATCTCCGATCCTCTTCTTGACCTAATTCTAATTTTTTTCCAGCCCCATGCCCTAAAGTAGCGTCAATAATCTCTCCACGTATCCGCTACCTCCCGAAATACAAGGCCAAAAAGGGGCGTCCGCGCTTTGAAAGGGGCGCCTTTGGGACAGGGCACTGAGAGCCTAGGTGAGACCTCATTGGCTGCGTTCAGGATGCGTGAATCCACAATCATCACGTGCTTTCGAGTCACTTTGGTGTTGCCCCGCCAGCCAAGCTAACCGCCAATTCGGGCCTAATTCCAACTTCAGCTCCCCAGCGAACGTCACTCCACTCACCATCATTCGTCTTTCGGTGCACCTTGCCTTCAACACTCGGAGCGACACCCAAGAACAGACCTCGATAACATCAATTCGTCCCCACCTTCTACAAAGGACATAGGCGACATCTGTGCAAATCCATATTCCTGCCCATCTCGCCAGGGATCCTCCCCCACAAACCTTCCATCCCCACACCGCCCGAGTGGCCGATATCTCCGCACCCCGAGGAAAGGATGTCCCAGACGCGCAAGTCGGCCGCCGCCGCCACCGGCCTGGGCCGGCAGTCCAAGCTTAGCTTCGCGCACCGCGTCACCAAGCCCTCGGCAGCCCGGGCCGTTGGCAAGGACCTGGCTGCCGCGACACCGAACCCCGTGGCGGCAGTCCCGGAGAAGACCGCCCTTGCCCCTGCCGAGGTGGTCGACGTCACGGCCGACGACATCCCCGAGCAGGAGGATGAGGATGATGAGGAGCAGCACTACACGGTTGCGACCGCGGCCGCCCCGGCGCCCGTTGTCAAGTCCGCCGCGGAGCTCGAGGCCGAGCAGGTCAGCGACGCGCAGGTCGGGCGGTACTGGAGGTCGCTCGAGTCGCGGCGACTGGCGCCCCGGGTGCACCAGGGCGACCTGGACGTGGACGAGAAGGTGCTGCGGTACTTTGATGTCAGCTCTCAATATGGGGTGAGTTTTTTTTATTTATTCTTTCGCTTCCGTTTTGTTTCCTCTCTGCCAAGCAATGGCTGACCTCCTGTCCCCCCTCTCGCACAGCCATGCATCGGTATCTCGCGCATCAGGCGGTGGAACCGCGCCGAGAGGCTTGGGCTGAGGCCGCCCATCGAGGTGCTCGCTATTCTGCTCAAGGAGGAAAAGGGGGCCGTCTCGGGGGCTCATATGGATGAGATCATGAACCCTAGTGCGGCTGGTCTTGATGTTGCTTGAAGTCTTTACCCCTCTTTGCAACAGCGGCTGTAGACCCATTGGTGTTTTCTGTTTCTTTTTCTTTTGCTCTCAGCCCCCCATCTCTATGGCTTGTCTGGGACATGGGGTGATACGCCCCATGCCCACCCTCTCTTGCTATTTTTTGCTCGTCTGATATGATGGCGTCGGTTGGTATTAGGTGCGTCTTGGGTGTGGGCGGTTGTATTGTACATTTTACAACAATTCTATTCTTTTTGCTTCTCGAACCCCTGCTGGGCAGTGTTGAGTTGTGGAAACGACATAGCCAGGTCTATCCAGTCCGTATCTCCCTCATTCCGGCATGGCCGCTCGGCCTCCTCAGTACCAGATGCTTCTCGTCCTATGGTGGGGTATAACCTCGGTTCCTGCCGCCTCATTTTCTTTCATCAGATCGTACAGGAAAAAGTCTATGAGGATAGCATTGATCTTGGTGTCTGGATGATTCCGCTTAATCTCCTTCCTGATGAGCTCCACGCACCATATACTGCACGCTGCTGGGGAGTTAGCACCGCAGCACTCCACTGTCAAGAAGAAGAAGAAGAAGAAGAAGAAGAAGAAGAAGAAGAAGAAGAAGAAGAAGAAGAAGA